TTCAGTATCCTCAGCTTTACCTTTCTACTAGATGGTTTTGATCTGGAAATTGTCTGACAGATCAGGAAAAAGATGTAGTTTGCCAATAAGCCCAACCCACGTTCATTTCTAATGACCCATCACTATGAAGGGCTGTCTCACTGGCCAATGCAAATGTGTGGAATGAGGGAGGGAAAGTAAGCAAGATTTAGCACTGTGAGGAAGTGAACCTTTAACTGGTCAGAATAGTCCAGCCTTGAGTCAAACCAAAGGGTACTGAAAGTTACTGCAGGTACCTCTGGGTGCTTGCCTTTCATACCTGTAAGTAGCCTTTAGTATACCTAAATTGACTTAGTTCCTTTAAATCAAATTTGTCAGCACTTCAGAAATTACCTTTAGTGAAGAAATTATGTCTAGGGGTCATATGATATGCAGAAAGGGCAACGACCTACTACATCTGTATAAAATACTCTAGAGCTCTACTACTACTATTCCTAGTGATAAGGGGTATAAATATAATATTTTAAACCCTGTGAAAAGAACCTTACAGCCTTGTCTTTTGCCTTAAAGAGGAACTTTACCCACATCATCAAAATAACAAAGGCACCTTTAGAAATGCTTAGTAATGGCAATCTACAAACAGATAATTCTGGATAATTGCTGTTTTTTTAAATTCTTTGTATACCTTATTTTTCTTTTCCTTCCCATTATTCTCACAACACCCATTTTTACTAAGGGCAGATTATTATATCTCCCTTTACTTCCTGGAACTCTGGCACATGTGACTAGGACATGCGACCATGCACATCATCTCAGGGGAGGAAAAAGGAAAATGCCTTTCCCTGAGATCTCTGGAAATTACAGATGAGATTTCCCAGGATGCAATGCACTGCTGATGTAACCTTCCCAGGATGCAATGTGTGGGCACAATTACATTATCTGTGTTAAAGTGAACCAGGAAGTGGAAAAACAACAATTGTAAGTAACATAAAAATATGTTTGTTTAGCTAATGAATATAAGATGATTTCATATCATATGAAGATTTCTAGTCAAATGAGGTAAAGGTCCACTTTAAGATCCTATTTGGTGACCACATGTCATTTTGGAAATTACCTATCTGCATTGCATGTAGCATACCTGTATTTTGATCTAATACTTTCAACCTGTCTTGTTGCATAACTGTCATACCTATAGTGTGACAAGCCTGAAATATGATAATGTCTATTGATCATGTCATGTTGTATGTTTGTTGTGTTTCATAGCTATATCAATGGTTCATGTTGTCATGTTGTATAGATGTATGTCAGATATCTTCACAGTGTGATAGAACTGTCTTATAACTGCTGGCCAATGTCAAGGTCATGTTTCTGCTGCATTCCTTGGACAGCATAAATAGTTTTGTGTGGCCTACAAAATAAATCTGAAATCCAGATAGATATAAAAAATAATAATTCAGTTATGTGTTCATCAAGAATTCCTAAATATATATTTTTTTTAAGCAACCAGTGTAAGTACCGGAATATGTCTTTTTGAAAACATTCCTTAGTTCCAATTTACACAGCACAGCACAACTTACACCAAAAGAGGAAGGATCTGCTCTAGCCCATCTGTGATTGAGTGAGCAAGCTCATCAATGTAATATGGCTCATTTATTTCTCAAACAGTAGGCTGGGCCCTGGGGGTATGTACGTGACCAAGTTGTGACCCCCACTGTAGTGGAGGTCCATAAACTAGCTATGTTGCCTGATAGGAGTGCATCCATCACTAGAATTACAAATCCTTTTGCAGGAGAAATGGTTCAATATAAGTACATATTTTCAACCGTGTATTTAGCTGCATGCCTGGAGTTAAGCTTTAATTTTGAACTCTAGCAAGCATGCCATGGACAAAGCTTGGTCCCACTGTGAGCAGACACTTAAAAGATGATGATAGAAAATGATTGTGCTGCCATGACAGATGAGCTAACCAGGGAACTGGACCGTATGATGACAGGAACAGGCTCAGACATTTACAAGTGTGCTTTATGAAGGAAAGAGATAAGTGCCAAGAGGATTTGATGCCGTCATATCTATGTGCCTTGTCAGCTTATACATTGTGTGATTTTCTTCTGTGTATTTCTCATCGAAGAGATAGATCTACAGCCACAATAAGAAAAAGATTTCTTTAGTTATACTACTGATTCTCGCACCATTTTAAGCATTGAGGAATGGTACACTAGGGAGTCAAGAGCTGCTAATCAGATTACAGAACACACTAGGCAAAGGCAACACTGTCCCTTGCAAGTTTTTTTTAATGATATTATTTTATTGTTCCCGAGGTTGTTGCTGAGCCACACTATTCAGTGCAGTCTTACTGTATTATTAATGCAATCATAACTCTATGCTAACAACTTCGACCCTTTCTTTTCCTTCTTTTAGAACACAGAATTAGGAAGTCTTTTTATTGTGAAAGGTAAGCTTCAGTAAACATGGAATTAGCAAAACTGCTTTCTATTCAGTGTTTAATCAGTCGAGAATGCTACACTTTTATATACATAGAAATCATTTATAATAGTGCTTAAATCACAGTACCAATGCATAAAGGATAAGCGGAAAATTGTTCACCAAAATATAATTACAATTACTTAAACAATAAGACATTACGGAGGAAGAAGTGGGACAATAGGAAACGCCTCTGGTGTAGTAAATTGCCTTTTCAAAGAAGTACATGGCAAAATACAGATATCTATTTTTAAATCAGGATTAATGCTGGATAAGCAGATTATATGTAGGATGTTTTGTCTGACTGTTGAGAAGCAGTATGTGTACTAACAGACTTTTGTATATCTATGTTACAAACAGGCCCTTTGGGTCCAGGGCAGCATTGGATGGGCTTTACCTGCCCCTTAGATTGTGGCATTTTGTGAGGTAAGCGGATGGTAGTAATAGGGCTGTGTAGCAGTGTGAAGGGGGTTAAGTACTGGCCTTACCTTTTCCACCACCTGAGTAATAATAAAAGTCTTCTCTAGGATGAAAAGGTATATGTGTGTTTGGGTGGAAGACTGCATGCAGGCTGTGCTGGAACAGCCTGCTGGTCTAAGCAGACCCAAATTGGCTCACAGCTAGCCAAGAGGCTGAATCTTTTGCTGTGCACTGGATTGTGCTGAGACATACCTCCTGTGAGTGAAGGCTCTTTATGTTTGATGGTGATGAAATAAATGCATTTTGGCGTCTGGACTTGCTCTCTGCACACTATGAGGGTTATTCACAAAGCTGCCGAAGGATCTAATCATAGCTTCGGCTGAGCCTTCGGCTAGCTTCGGCCCCAGGACCCCTTCGGTTCAGTAGAACCGAAGGGCTGCTGTACGGGCTATTCACTATAGCCCATACAGCTCTCGAAGTTGGCTGAGCGGCTCAGTCGAGCCGAAGGCATATGCTTCGCCTCCACTGAGTTTCAGCCGAAGCGTGGACAACAGTCTGCCAAAGCAGACTGTTCTGTCCGCAATATGTAAACAAATAAATAAACACAGCGTGGGATCCTCCTCCCAAACGTTATAAATGTTAAGAGGGACCCCCATTTAAAAATAAAAAAAATGCCCTGACCAATCCTAGCCTCTCTCCCCCCCTAATATCGGCCGATTCCCTGTCGATCTTTATGTTTCTTGCGGCTGCTGTCTCAATACAAAGAAAAAAAAGCATCAGATAACAGGGGAAGCATTAGCTCCCTGTTATCTGCTTATTCCCCTGCTATGTTTTTTTTCTATTAGTTCGACAGCTGCCGCAGGCTGCCGTCATACTAAAGAAATAAAAAAACAACAAATAGCATAGGAATGAATAGCTAGGCTGCTATTGGCCATTTTAAATCGGAATAGCCAAAAGTAGGCTGGCTATTGCACCCGCCTACTGCCGCTGTCAATCAGCAATGGTGGACCTGATGGAGAATCAGCCGAAGCAAGCCGGTGGACGGCTGATTTTAGCGTTCGGCTCACTTCACTTCGGGTCGGTTAATAACCCTCTATATGTTTGAAGCTGACCCCTACAATCCAACACATACACATAATTTTCTATATATCACATAAGCAGAATATAGCATCTTGGATTACAGTGCTGGAGAAGGTAGGTCAGCAGCTGTCATGTCTTCTATCTAAATAATCTGGACATTACATTTTTGAGTTTGGTGGATGTAGCTTTTTTTTAAAGACTACTCAGTGGAGTACAAACAACATTTGTATTGTTTCTTGCCTGGAGACACACTGTGTGTCTCTCTACTCAGTTGCCTGTGAGCCATCTTCCCCCTTTTCTTTTGCCTTCCCTACCCCCCCCCCCCCCCCCATTTTTTTTTTCTTCCTTCT